TCCCTGTGATGGACTGGAGATCTGTCCAGGGTGTCCCCTCCTCTCGCACAATGACTGCTGGATATGGGCACCAGTGACCCCTGCGACTTGAAAAAGGAAGACGCTGGTAAAAAGATAATGGATGATGGATGTACAGTTTCTTTTCACAAAGATGGCCTCCTTTACTCCTCTCTCAAACCATCGTTCCTCTCTGTCCAGGATGTGAACATCTTCATCCCTGAAAGAGTGACCTCTTGTCTGGAGATGAGTGTAGACCGCAGAGTCCTGGCCTGATGATGAACATCGTACAATGCTGTTATTGTTAGTATCACTCAGCCTCCTGTGAATAGCAAGTGGCCATCAGGGCACTAACAACCATCTGTTAGTCTGATGGTCCTCCTTTATCATGAGAACAGCTAGTTCTGGATGTCAGCAGCAAACTGCTTGGTCCACTTAAGGAGTTTACTGCTTGGTGGGGAAACAGTTTATTGGAACTCCTCAAACTGATGAAGCCCTCCGGATAGAGAGTGAAACGTCTCTATAAAAAAATAAACTGTCCAGATGACCTGACTGAGAAATATTGGATTTGATACCTGGATGATTGAGCATGAACTTTGTTTGCTTGACAGTGGTTCCCAAACTTTGTTCAGATGTGTACCCCTTCAGACATCTGACCTCTAGCCAAGTACCCTCCTTTTAAATTTTATTCGGAAACACTGCACATATCAAATAAAATCTTAAACGACGGTTATTTTTTTCCCACCAAATGATATTTATTAATAAATGTCAGCATTAATAAAGAACACGTTTATAGGCTGAATTATCCAAACATTTAGCCTGCGTAGAATGTATATATTGTAAAACATTCATGGTGTGATAACTAACAGTTACTGAACACACTGTGTATTTAATTAAACTCACCACAGTTTTAAAGAGAAGGGTGTGCCTGGAAAGATGCACACACCTCTGTTATGTTTGGCTTAATTTGAGACAGTCTGAGTCTTAAATCGTTCTCATCACAAAGTTTTGCTCTGTGTTTTGTTTTCATATTTGTCAGAGTGGAGAATCCACTTTCACACAAGTACATTGTAGCAAAGGGCATCAAGGTCTTTACAGCACGTTTGACCAGCGCACGCTGTTCCCATCCAGAAATTCGGCAATGGCTTCGGATGTTTTCACAGCCCCGACAAGAAGTTGAGTTGCTGCTTTGGTTTACAGGTGTTCCTTCAGCGAGTCACACCCTTCTACTTTGTCTGTGCAATGATTTTGCTGAACACTAGATGGCAGCATTTACATGTGTATTTGGTTATGTGCGAAGGTGCCTCAGGTTGTAGTCTGGCTCTTTTCACATTTTTAAAATTTATTTAATTATTCAAATTTTCTCTCGCAACCCCTACTTCCCTCTTGCAAACCCCCAGGGGTACGAGTACCCCACTTTGGGAAGTACTACACTATGAGAAGGTGCTATTTATAAGACTGAGTTTGTTGCAGCTCCTCAGACTGAAGAAGTCTTTGGATAAAAAATGAAACGTTTCAACAAGAAGAATCTGTCCAGAGGACCTGACTTAACTTTTGCCCCATTTGCACTGCCCCTGATAAGCCCCAACTCTGCACAGCCCGCCACAGAAAGAACATTTTTGCACCAGTACTTAAGCTAGTATATTTAGCTGATTTGAGGCTGATTCAGGAGCTCTTTTCGTCCCTGCTTCTCTAGTGGGACTCAGTCTTATATAAATAGCTATGAGCTGAATACACCACCTCAGACTGAAGAAGTCTTTCGGATGAAAGAAGAAACGTTTCTACATGTTTTGTTTTGTTTGTTTTTTGAACATCCAGAGAACCAGACTTAACTTTTTTAGATTTAAATATAGATGTTTTTGTAGAATCTGGTTCATCAGATTTAATTCAGTTCAGTTTATTCATATATCGCCTGGTCACAACAGAAGTTGTCTCAGGGCACTGAACAGAAATATTCATATATAATAATAATTTAATGGCAGCACGGTGGCGCAACTGGTAGAGCTGCTGCCTCTCAGCGAGCAGGTCCCTGGTTCAAACCCCGGTCCAGGGGCCTTTCTGGGTGGAGTTTGCATGTTCTCTCCGTGCATGCGTGGGTTTTCTCCAGGTACTCCAGTTTCCTCCCACAGACCAAAAACATGCATGTTAGGCTGATTGGTAACTCTAAATTGTCCCTAGGTGTGAGTGAGAGAGTGAATGGTTGTTTGTCTCGTTTGTCTCTATGTGTCCCTGTGATGGACTTTCGACCCATCCAGGGTGTACCCCGCCCCTCACACAGTGATTGCTGGACATGGGCACCAGCGACCCCCGTAAACCAAAAAGGAAGAAGAAAAAAAAAAAAAAAAAAAAAAAAAAAAAATGGAAGAAGCGGGTAAAGATAATGGATGGATGGATGAATAATAATTTAATATTATTTATCTGAGGAGCAGACTGCTTTGAGTGACTCATTGCAGAACTCTCATTAGCAGGACTTGGATCCTGGACACGCCTCCAGAATCGGTCCTAAAGTGCAGGTGCAAATCCAGGCTGATCAGGAGCAGTGCACATGGGGCATTTGTTAGATTTCTCTACGTGGATTATTGAGCATGCATCAGGACGTCTGTTTCAGATGTTCGTAGAATCTGATATTAACTTATTTTCTCTAACAACAAGCCAGGGTCACATGATGTTTCCTGATGGCAGCTGGTGCAATAAAGACACACACACACACACCGAACGTTACACACACACACCAAACGTTACACACTCCTGCAGTTTGATAAATAGCCTGAAGTAGTTTTACAAATACCAACATGTAACTATAATTAGTTGACTCTACAAGTGAAGCATTTCCTCTAAAAATAAACAAACCTCCATATAATCATGTCCTGCTTCTCATTCTACACGAGTCTAATTTTACATTTGTTGAAATAAACACTTTGTTTAGCCCCTTCAACTCGTTTTTTTTATCCACTTTGAAGCAGAAAGCTCAGCAGCTGTACACACAGAACACGCTTTTAATAAACCACCTATTAAATGTTTATAACGTGAACATCTGTCTGCTGCCAGATGTGGTGATCTTTTATTAAACCCGAACTGAGTTCTTTTATTTCATCTTCATCAGGCTGCGGGCGACCAAACATTTACTGTAAAACCGACTTTATTGGGAATTATAAGAGGGAACAATGTGTGAAAACAAATTAAGAATAATTTCTGTGAATTTGTGGAGGATATTTTTCGTAACAAGTTTTGGGACTTGAAAGTGTTGGTTATCAAAACGTACTTTTCCGACTCGTTTAAAAGGCTTGCTGTTAATAATTGGATTTTAAAATGGAAAAAGATTACTTTATAATAAATGTTATAATAACTGATGATGATTATAGAAGTTTTGTGTCAGACTGGTTGGAGGTGGAGCTGAGACACACTGCACCGTACGTCACTTGATCCTTTCCTCCTTTAAGGAGTCTGTAAGTTGTAAGGAGAGTGTTAAAAACAGCTGTTACATCCTGAAAATGACAGATGTGAGTGGGACGCAGTCCTTGAACGCATCTAGAGGAGCAGCTTGAAAACATTGCAGGACAGGGAGGAGAGCAGGAAGGTCTCGTTCACTGGGAGGAGAGAGAAACCAGGAGACATCAGTGGCTTGGAGAGCAGAGAGCAGCATGTGCTTCAAGTTCATGGTCCCTTAGAGCTTCAAGGTCAAACGGGATGTTGGCTTTCTGTTCGGATTAGTGCCGGGAAACCTGTGGACACATCCATCCATCCATCCATCCATTCATCCATCCATCCATTCATCCATCTAGGGGTGCACCGATTGCAGTTTTCTGGCCAATCACCGATTTCTACAGTCTGATCTACCGATACTGATTTTGTTTTATAAGCGACACTGTCAGATGTTGTAAGGTCACAATGCACCTTCAGTTTTCCAATATTATTTTATTGAAAAACATAACCTTGAACAATATCCTGGAAACAATACAACCCTGTTTTAACTGTTCATGAGGTAGTGCTCTGAAATGGAAAGGAAGTTCAGACACTTGTTGTTAAAACAAACAAACAAAACAGTAAAATCAGTTTCTCATGTAAGTATTGGCCGATATCCCAAAATTAAGGAAACCCCTACATACATCCATCCATCCATCCATAGACACATCATTTCATAATCCATCCATCCATCATCTATCCTCCAACCATCCATCCTTCCATTACCCCTCCATCCATCCGTCATCTATTCATCATCCATCCATCTATCCATCATTCATCCATCCATCCATCATCTATCCATCATTCATCCATCCATCCATCATCTATCCTCCGACCATCCATCCTTCCATTACCCCTCCATCCATCCGTCATCTATTCATCATCCATCCATCCATCATCCATCCATCATTTATTCATCATCCATCCATCTATCCATCCTCCAATCATCCATCCTTCCATTACCCATCCATCCATCATCATCTATCCATCATCCATCCATCCATCCTCCAACCACTGATCCATCCATTATCCATCTATCCATCCTCTATCCATCCATCCACCCATCCATCCATCATCTATCCATCATCCATTCATCTATCCATCCTCTATCCATCATCCATCCATCCATCCATCATCTATCCATCATCCATCCATCCATCCATCCATCCATCCTCCAACCACTGATCCATCCATTATCCATCTATCCATCCTCTATCCATCCATCCATCCATTCATCTATCCATCCATCCATCCATCATCTTTACCCAATTTTCCCTTTTTGGGTCATGGAAATCACTGGTGTCCATATCCAGCAGTCACTGTGTGAGAGTTGGGGGACACCCTGGACAGGTCTCCAGTCCATCACATGGACGCATAGAAACAAATGAGACAAACAACCATTCACTCTTGCTCTCACACCTAGGGACAATTTAGAGTTTCCAATCATTCTAACATGCATGTTTTTGGTCTGTGGGAAGAAATTGGAGTACTTGAAGAAAACCCACGCGTGCACGGAGAGAACATGCAAACTCCACCCAGAAAGGCCCTCGGCCAGGATTTGAACCAGGGCGATCTGCTCGTTGAGAGGCAGAAGTTCTACCAACTGAACCACCGTGCCGGCCCCTCTGGAGACAATGAGGAGGTTCTAATCAGCAGATTAATAAACTGAAACAGTTTTGTTTTTCCATTTTATTTTTTACAAAAGACTGAAACATTAGGCCAGTAAACCAGAGTTTTATTGAAACACGTCCTATGACCGCGTTGCATCGTGTGTCATGATGGTTGGATTATGATTAATTGAGTTTGCCACATTAGTTATCTTCTTATATTTAATGGGTTTTTGTCAGTTGTCGTCTGTTTTCTGGTGATTCACGTATCTCCATATATTCTCAGTTATTTAGAGTTTATGTTGTTATTCTCCTCAGCTCCTCACCTGTGTTACCATCTACTCATCACCCCTCCCTGTGTGTAGTCCAGTTTCTCTCCTTGATGTCAGATCTTACAGTTTAGAGTCAAACAGTCTCAAACATGACTGTCTTCAGGCCCAGGCCTCCCTTGCAGTAAATATCTGTGTTCTCTGTGGGCTTTGCCTGTTTAAATAAAGTTAATAAATAAAAGTTTATTTTATGTCTTTGTCTGGGCCATTGCTATAGTTGTACAATAGTTTGATGGCAGGTGCGGTACTCTTGTTGCCTGTTGTTGTTTAATGTTTGTTTTATGTTTTTCCTTGTTTCCTGGATTTTAGTGTTTTTGTCAGAAAACTAGTTGACACTGCTCCCATTTCCTGCCTCTTTGTGTCCACTCTGCTCGTCCTATTTGAACCCCATGAAATTATGGGTTTCTTTATGTTTTATTTTTGTATAGAAATATTTGAGAGATGAGTTCATATTTTAATTACGCACATAGTCTCACTTTCTTTAGCCTGTATGCAGCAGGCCATTTACACAGCAGCTTTCCTGTTGTTTGGGCATGGTGAACATGTAGCTTGTGTTTGTACGGTACTTTCCTCATCACACCTGGGTTCAAAACGCACTCTGAGCTGGAGGCTCCAAGAACAACCTCAAGGAAGACGTGATTATGCTCAGCTGTGGTCCTGTTTCAGTGCTGGTGCTCAGTTTGTTCAGTTATCTCTGCTGAGAGTTAACTGGAAGGCGAGCTATTATTACATGAAGGTGATCTTAGCTGGGAGGTGTTTTATTCTGAAAGTCAACCCGGAGAAAACGTTCAACGGTTTGATTTATCGTCATCATAATTTAGTTTTCTAAATCCTTGAATAGCCGCAGCTTTGGAGACTTTAAAGCAGGGGTGAGCAGGAGTTTATTCCAAAGGGACAAAACAAGATGTTTAAAGTAATCTAAGGGGCGCTTGAATAATTGAAAACAAAACATCGTCTAAAACAGATAATCTGGAAGACTTTGTGTCAGGCTTTTCCTTCTTGCACCATAGGTAATATGCTTAATAATAATATGTAGAACTCTTGATTCATTTAGTTTAATTTCTGTAAAATGTGTCTTGCGACAATATATTAGCTTAAAAATGTTGTATGTTTGCTTTTTGGAGTCTTTAATGTTCAGTCTAGTTCTGGAAATACAACTTAAAAAATAAAAATGTTTTAGCCTATCTTAATTTAAAGGTTATCCATTTATTCTATAAAATATTTAATTCAGCCTTCCTTAAGTTTCATTGATAAACGGCAGGTTTTCATTAACTTTTTAAAAATGTGGTCTTCTTTTTTTAATTAAGATGTTTGGGGGCCGGATGGAGATTGTCCAAGGGCCACTTTTGGCCCTCGGGCCATATGTTGCCTGCATCTGCTTTAAAGACACTTCAGCCTCTCTGTAGCCACGGTAATAAGACACTGATTTAAATGTTTATCATTAGCTTGTAGTAAAGTGACAATCACTTTTTTTTTTTTTACATTTTATTGATGTTTTGTCGTTGATCTTAGGTTAAATTAACGGATCAAGTAAGCTTTCATCTTTGTTCGGTGCCATAAAGGGAGCACCTCCTTGATCTGTTGATGCTAATTTGTAGCAATTTTCAGTTTCAGCAGAAGAAAGAGGTTTTTTTCTTCTTCTTTTCCCTGAAGACGACAAACTAATTAAGTGGGAGTAACAAGAGAAAAGTGAGATTAATCAAAGACAGTCAGTGGTAAGCTTTGGCATTTTCAAGCTTTAAATTTCCATCACAGTGATGTTTTGCTCAAACATTTTTTTTTTTTTCAGTTTGCACTTTATATTAAAAAATAAAAGTGTGGTTTATTTCTAACATCACAAACTGAAGCTATAGCTGAGTCCTGCAGCTATAGACTCCATCCCTGCGTGTTCTGCTAAATGTTAGTCAGCAGAAACAGATTGACATTTAACGTTTGCTCACATTAACAAAGACCCTGATGTCTTTTTTATCAGTTCTTCACTATTAGGACAAGAAAAACAAAAGGCTGACTGGAGTTTAATGAAAGCATCAAATGTCAGATCATGTTTCATGCATCTGTTGCATCAGAAGTTCTACTCAAGTTTATTTACCTCAAATTATTCCTGGGTTTTCTGCCATTTTAAAAGAAAAGTGATGCAGATTTATTTTGATAAACTTCTTTATAATTTTATTTTATTTTTTTCACAGAAGCCTTGACATTTTTACATAATCCTGCTGGGAAATCAAACATCTGGAATAGATGGATAACTACACTAATAAAACATGAGTACATATTAAAAGAGTTTGTTGTGTTTTATGATGTTTGAGGGTGAAGAGAATAATTTGTGACTCCAATGTTCATATAATGGTAGATATGTTAAAAAACTTGACTTTGATTTGAGCACCTGCAGAAATAATGTGCTCAGGTATTTAAACATTTCACCTGCATAAAAGTTTTACACATTTTTTAATCATGTAGTCACAGAAACAAGTTTAAATGGTATAAAATTACATTTACACAAATAAAATGAGAGTTGCAGACTCGTAATTCATCACCTTCATATGTTCTAACAAACCAAGACTCTATTTTTTATTGCATTTTTATTTAACCTTTTTTTATACAGGTTAGTCTCACTGAGTCAGAAGAACTCTTGTACTAGAGAGGCCTGTTTTAAACAGACAACATGTAGAATACAGACAACAATATACAACAATAAAAAAACAATAAAATAAAAAGAATATTATAAAAACACTGTCACCATTAGCAGCATGGTCCTCTTAGAAGATTGGTTCTGTGAGCAGAGTGGTTGTGTTAACAGTGTGGTCCTGTTAGTAGCATGGTTTTGTTTGCAGCATGGTCCTGTTAGTAGTGTGGTCTTGTTTGCAGCGTGGTTCTGTTAGCAAAGTGGTTGTGTTAGCGGTGTGGTTCTGCTAGCAGCATGCTTTTGTTTGCAGCATGGTCCTGTTAGTAGTGTGGTCTTGTTTGCAGCGTGGTTCTCTTAGCAAAGTGGTTGTGTTAGCGGTGTGGTTCGGTTAGCAGCGTGGTCTTGTTTGCATTATGGCACAGCCAGTAGTGTGGCTCTGTCAGCAGCGTGGTCCTGATAGTAGCATGGTCTTGTTTGCAGCATGCTCTTGTTTGCAGCGTGGTCATGTTAGTAATGTGGTCTTGTTTGCAGCGTGGTTCTGTTAGCAAAGTGGTTGTGTTAGCAGTGTGGTCCTGTTAGCAGCGTGTCTTGTTTGCATTATGGCACAGCCAGTAGTGTGGCTCTGTCAGCAGCGTGGTTCATTTAGCAGCGTGGTCCTGTTTGCAGTGTGGTTCTGTTTGCAGCGCGGTCCTGTGAGCAGTGCAGTCCTGTTAGCAGCGCGGTCCTGTTAGCAGCGTGGGTCTGTCAGCAGCGTGGGCTTGTTTGCATCATGGCACAGCCAGCAGTGTGGCTCTGTCAGCACTATAGTTCTGCTAGCTGTGTGGTGCTGTTAGCAGTGTGGTCCTGTTAGCAGCATGGTCCTGTTATTAGTATAGGCCTGGTCTTGTTTGCATTGTTGTCCTGTTAGCATGGTCCTTTTAGTGGTGTGCTCTTTTTTGTAGCATGGTCCTGTTTGCAGCATGGTCTGTTTGCAGCATGGTTTGTTTGCAGTGTGCTCTTGTTTGCAGCATGGTCCTGTTAGCAGTGTGGTCCTGTTAGCTGCGTGGTCTTGTTTGCAGTGTGGTCTTGTTTGCAGTGTGGTCCTGTTTGCAGTGTGGTCTTGTTTGCAGTGTGGTCCTGTTAGCAGTGTGGTCTT